CTCTGAAATCCATTCATTTTCAATCAGACAACATTCGAAAACATTTTACGATTTTTGGGAATCTGAATATGCAATCCGATTCAGGAAAGGGCCGGAGGGTGGTGGTGATCGGCGGTGGAGTCGCCGGCTCCTTGGCCTCCAAATTTCTTCAGTTCGATTCCGACGTTACCCTCATCGATCCGTAAGTTTCTTTTTTGTTTTGGTTCTTTAATTCCTTAAACACCATTCTGTTTTCCACGTTTGATCTTGATCGTGAGCTTTAGCGATAGTGGACCCAAGGTTTACTACCACCCCAGTACTATTGTTAAATCTTTAGAAGATTGCTTACGGGTACGATTCTGTAAAGGAAGATTTTAGTCTGAGATTGATCTCAGACTTTACTTTTGAATTTGATGAGCCAACATTAGGTTTGACTACAAAATGTTGGAGAGATCTTGTTTATAGTCAGACCTAATTGGGTTGTTTTGTTTATATATATGTATCTGTGGTGGCCATTAAGTTTTTTTTTTTTGTTTCTTGTAGCAGAGGCATTATTGAATTTGCTCTATGTACCTTGTGGTAGAAATTGCTTTACATTCACTGCGAATTTCCTTTGACAACAGGAAGGAGTACTTTGAGATCACCTGGGCAAGTTTGAGGTCCATGGTGGAGCCGTCTTTTGCTCAAAGATCCGTAATCAACCACAAGAAGTACCTACAAAATGGCCGTGTTGTGACTTCTCCCGCGGTCAATATCACAGACACCCATGTACTGACCGCAGATGGACTTGATTTTGGATATGATTATCTTGTTATTGCTACGGGTCACAACGACGTGCTTCCCAAAACCAGGCAAGAGAAGCTATCACAATACCAAGCGGGTATGAATATATTCCAATTCCACGCGTTTCCCGTTGTTTTTTTCTCTCATTTCTACTCCTTGAATTAGTGTGAGACCTGCTCTGTTTAATGTTTGAATGTTGTGAATCTTGAATGGGAAATCTTATGCTAACCATTAATCGCTAACACGAGGCTTGCAAGGAGCTTCAGCTGACTTATATTTCTAATCTGTTGTACAGAAAAGTCATTAGATATCATATCTTTTACTAGTTGAAAGTCACATTGAGCGTGAAGAATATAGCTTGGATATTGATGTGTGTGTAAATAAGTTATGTGAATCAAATGTAGGATGGTTTGGACTTTTTTTGTTTTGTATCTTAAAATGATTTGAAATTCAGGCATGGATTGTTTGGTTTTTATCTTTTAATTTTCTCACATGTACTATTTGGTTGCAGAATATGAGAAGATCAAGTCTTCTGAGTCGATTCTGATTGTTGGTGGAGGCCCATCGGGTGTTGAGCTTGCTGCAGAGATTGCAGTCGACTTCCCGGAGAAGAAGGTTACTCTAGTACACAATGGACCGAGATTGCTGGAATTTGTTGGTCAAAAAGCTGCAGACAAGGCGTTTGAGTGGCTAAAATCGAGGAAAGTGGAAATGATATTGAACCAAAGGGTGGATCTGAATTCTGCATCGGACGGAAATAAATCATACCGAACATCAGGAGGAGAAACGATACACGCAGATTGCTATTTCCTCTGCACCGGAAAACCATTGTCTTCAGAATGGCTAAAAGGAACTGACCTGAAAGAGAGCTTGGATGGTAAAGGAAGGCTGATGGTTGACGAGTACTTGAGAGTTAAGGGTCACAAGAATGTATTTGCGATTGGAGATATTACTGATATCCCGGTAAGTGTGTGATCTCTGAAATTTTGTACTGATATGGGTTTGGTTTCTTCATTTCCTGTACTTACTATAATATCTGATTGGATTTATGATTCCTATGACAGGAGATGAAGCAAGGGTACATTGCTGAGAAACATGCTTCTGTGGCTACAAAGAACATAAAGCTGTTGATGTCTGGTGGGAACGAGAGGAAGATGTCAACCTACAAGCCAGGTTCGGACATTGCCATTATATCTTTAGGCCGAAAGGACTCGGTTGCTCAGTTTCCATTCATGACAGTCTCGGGTTGCGTCCCTGGGTTGATCAAATCTAAGGATCTGTTTGTGGGGAAGACGAGGAAGGCAAGAGGACTGGATCCTAACCTTGTGGAGCCTTGAGAGATTGTGTTTTCAGTTTGGCCATGATGAGACTCTTGTGAAGACGACGCATTTGCCTTTTATTTCATGTCATGTCATGTTTGTTGTGTAACTTGTGTGTTGATTTGATTGTAATGTATTGTTTGTCTTTTGTTGTAATATATTGTGTAATGAACACTTTGACCCAA